TCCAGACTTCAAATGACACAGAGGACACAAATTTTAGCTATATCTCAGAAGACCTCATTATTTGAAATCACTTGGAATTAACATCGCATACCAGCAAAAAAAAAAAGAAATTGTAAAGATCCTGTTTTACTAGTATACTTTTGAACTCAGCCTATCAAATTCCTTTGCAGATAAATAGAATTATTTTTGTCCAAGTGATTAAAGTTTGCATTTCATCAGGATTAATGGATGCAGGGAAATTATAGAAACAGAATCAGAATAACCTCATCAAGTTATCACTGGCACACCTGACACTTCATACCTCATTATTTTACAGAAAGGAAAAACAGCTGCAAAGTTGTTTGAGGTAAACATAGACTATCACTCTAAAAAAGTATATTCTTAGTCTACTTCTGTATAGCAACATTTCCCTGCTGATTGCTTTATTGACTGCAGGCAAAACCTGTAGAAGGGTATGTCCTAAGAGACCTCTCTGGAATTCAATTTATATCCACTGCTTCACTCTACTGCGGTGAAACGGAGCATCTGCAAAGATGTCAACACTATTGTAAGCAGACAAGTTTATGAATCCGGACCATGTTCTTTCCTAATGGAAGAGAATGGAGCTTGCTTTCTGGTGCACAGTATTTAGAAGGGGAAATTAAGACATTTTAATTGACATTGAACTTTGAGACACCAAACAGGGGTGTCACACGACAGAGAGCTGGGAATAAATTCAAGCGGTTTTGTGCTATGGTTTTGTTACAATTTTGTTCAGGGGTTGACTCTGTGATTTCTTTGCAGGGAACAGGTTACCTGCAGCAGTCAGAAGCTGTCCGAAATAGTAACACGCACAAGACACCTAGAGATTATGATATTAAAAACTAATGAGTATGGAAATGTAAGGGCAAAGAGATAAAGGTCAGTACACACAGAAAGAATTAACGATCTCTGTTCCTTGGGGGAACATAAACGACATACATGCTACTCTTCTTATCTTGGTTAGCCAGAACCTCCCAAATACACAGACCTTCCCCTGTCCCTTCTGCCAGGAGTGATATGCTATCACACATTCACGCTTTCTAGGGTACCACCATATATTCCTTTTCCTGAGATTCTTGTCTTCAAGTGTAAATCAGTGTGAATCAACTTTTCTCAAGCGTGAATCAATGTGAACCAGCAGGCCAGGGGCTGTACTTCACACCTGGAGCCTTCCCTACATTCAGAAAAAAAAAATATCTGTAAAAACCTGAGCTTGAAGATTTTTCTTTGCATATTTTTAATGAGACTGCCTTCTCCAAGAAACCCAAGTATCTCAGAACTCAGCATAGACAGTAAAACAGTCAATTGCTTTTTAATTAAGAAGTACATTGAAATTTAGAGAGGAAGTATTCACAGGAATACGAGAGTTATTATTCCTTTAACCGACTATTCTATTTGACTTCCAAACCACTTCCAATCAACTGGTTAGCATGCACAATGCAATGAGGTGTTACAGAAATATTTAAATATTTAAATTCATTACATCAAATTAAATAAGAGCAATGGGAGAGTCCTTCAGCTACTTAGTAGACTACCTTCATGCCCAGTGCCTGTAAAGGACTCAACACTCCTATATTTACTTCATTTACTTTAATTGAACATGGCACTTCTTGCAGTGCAAACAATTGTATTCCTGATTTTAAAAAAATAAATCTGTGCTTTACTTTCACATTTTCCGTAACATTTCCAAAGGACAAACACTGCTTTTAAACATTTATCACTTCCATGTATATTGAGGCATTTCCTCAAATGTCCTTGAATGACTCCTTACTTCCTTATTTACCAGAACTGATTAGACAGCTAAGATAATTAAGTCACAGAAATATCAGTACAGATTAAACACAAAATTATCCTTCTGACTTTAAAAGTAACCTTAAATGTATAATGACATTGCAAGTTCACGCTTAGTATTTTAAAACTCCGGGACAACGGCAAAATAGGAGTAACCCTAACAGATACTTTTCCCATGAGTTTTAATGCCTAAAACGTTTAAGTGCTACTTTTTCCATTTTATTCTTGAACAAACTGAGGCACTGCCAATCTCAACAATAGCAGCAGCATGTAGCTCCTGATGCACATCATCGGCTGCAGCTGGTATAGCCTCCTCCTACCTTTGGAGAGGCAGAGCTATAAACTAAGCACTCAAAAGGTGAGCCAACAGTATTCACTTTAAAACATAAAACTGACATATGAAGGTGCAACACTGATTAAAGACTAATTCAAGTATTCAGTTCTGTCTCCATTTACACAGAATTTAAATTACTGTACCTTCCTTTCTGTTCCATTCAGGCAACAAAAATAACAAGGTGAAAAACCACACCTGGCATTTGCCACACAACTGACAGATGGAGTGTATAGTATTGAAGCCATCCATGGTATAACACCTGCAGTAAGAAAGGAGCTTCAAGTGTTTTGCAGAAAGTGTTTGAGAAGCCTGAAGGTGGGCCCCACACCAAGGTACAGAGCTTTTTATGACTCCTTGGCTCCCCATTACAGAACTTGTATTTCTGCCTTTTTATTCCCTGCCCTTTTATTTCCATACTCACTAGTTTTTAATATCATAATCTCTAGGTGTCTTGTGCATGTTACTATCTTGGACAGCTTCTGACTGCTGCAGGTAACCTGTTTGCTGCAAAGAAATCACAGAGTCAACCTCTAAACAAAATTACAACAAAACCATAGCACAAAGCTCCTTGGCATCACCATTACAGAAAACAGCAGGGGATCACTTTGTACTTCATAGCATAAATGATGTTACTAGTGATCCTACAACTGTAGCTGGACTACTTATACTCCTAAAGTCTTAGGAGAGAAATAAATGCCCATCTGATCAACGCATTTCCTAAGCAGACCTTAACTTCCAGCTAAGAGTTCAGCTGTTTTATACAGAGACAGCCTACAGATGCCAGAGACCTGACAGTCCTCAGTGAGAAAAGCATCATTTATTCTTTATCAGCAGTGTAATGAGAAAGGTTAATTAAAAAAATTAACAGTATGTCTTTTTTTTTTCCTACTGTCTCATATTTTTTCCTCCTGGCTGTTAGTGGAATGGGATGAACTCACAGTTCAAATCCAGCTGGTCTCTATGCAGGCCACAGTCATCTCAAATGAGTGCAACACCCATCTCTTCCTTGAGCTGGGCAATGCAAATATTCATTGCACCCACACACAATTACAGCAGCTTCTATCATACTCCCAGACAAACTCAGGAAGATTTAGACTACATTAAACACCAAACTGATGTAATTTCCCCTGCTGGTACTTGTCTGCTTTTTCCCACTGCACCAAGACCCTTCCGCTTCCCTAGGCAGTCAGAAATGACAGACAAGGGAATGCAAAGAAATGGAGTGTGAATGTAAAAGGAAATATAATTGGTTCAAGACTCTCTACTGTCTTCAATTTTGTACAGTCATTTACAGCTGTCTAAAGTCTGTGTCTGAACACTGGCACCCAAGTGAGTGAGTAGGCAATTAAGATTTTGTACTCTTTCACAATCATTCTGCACAGATGTAAACTACTGGATACGGTACGAGACAGCAGGGACACACTGAGAGCTCTGGCTTGAAGACCACGTCGCTCTGCCGAGAAGGATGCTGCTTTTCCCTGACATGTCTTCACAGCTCAGTCCTGGAAGATGCTGAACCCTTGGACCTCAATCCAGCAGAAGTGCTTAAGCGCTTACTTAACATTGCAAACTCACGCATGTAAATACTCTCATTATTTGCAGCAGG